TCTGCCCCTACCCCACTTGCGCACTCTCTTTCTCAAAAATAAATAAACTTTAAAAAAGTTATAACTATATCTGTAACATGAAGGGGAAAACCTCACTACTGTTTTAACATAAATCATATATTATAAAGTTCCATAAATTCGTCACAGCTGATGAGACAGGGACTCAAAATTTCAGGCATCTGCCTTAGGAGTGAGGGAAAGGGAGGGAAGGTGAGATGTTTATGCTTCCCAAAAGAAAGCGTGGGTTTTAAAGGATTACTCCCTCCCTCCTTCCTTTGATTCCAGAGCGGTAAGCGGCTGTAGGGATCTCATACTAGGCCCCTCCCCTTCTCCATTTTTCAGGTGGGAAGAACCAAGCCTGGCAGAGAGGAGGGGTGGGAGTGGGGGTGTGAGGGTGGCGGTGGTAACCTCACTCAAGATGGATGAGCACGTTAGTGGCAAAGCTGAAACCAGACCCAAGGTCTCCTGATTTGCAGGCTGGTGCTCTCTTCTCCAAGCCAAGCTGCCTACTGCTGAACTAGCAGAGGTGACAGCACCCCTCTGGGGATCCAGGACAGTACTTGGCACCAGAAGGTGTGTAAAGAGCGAAGAACAAAAGACCTGCAGGGAGCAGTTAAGCAACAAAGTCATTCTGCCCCAGAAAACAGGTACTCCGGGATCTCAGCAGATGTGAGGTCCAACACTCTTCTTGGCCCCCTGCTTTGCTCCTCTCTAGGCTCCCCTGAGAGGAACCAACTAACGGTCTCTCTCTCCCCCTCCCCCTCCTTCCCTCTTTCTCCTAGGTCAGCCCCCCAAGTCCAGGAAGAAGTGGCTAATGGACCATCAGGGTTGGCGTGGGGATAAGGAGGGGGGTAGTTTACCTGTCCGTACAAAGTAGCAATGCAAAGAGTGCACATGGACGTCTTCACTCACAGACTTGGCTGCAGCCACCAAGGCCTGGCCCACGATCTGACCCCCAAACAGCCGCTGGGTTGTGGGTACCCAGTAATGCCTTCCTCTGTGGGGAGAGGGGAAAGCAGGAAATACTTGGGGACCAGACCAAATCCTGCGACCATCGCTGAGCCTATAGGGCAGGATCTCTCGGCCTTATTGGGGTCTGGGATCCTTTTGAGAATCTAGTGAGAGCCATGGACCCTTCTCCCAAGCAAATTCCCTTACTCTGCACACAGCGTACAACTTCAGGGTCTTCAAGACTGCTCAACCCTTCCGGGCTTCGGTTAAGGACAAGGAACCAATGCCCTTATTTTACACAGAGAACAGGGATCAGAGAGGGAAAGTGACTTGAGCAAGGTCACACAACTTAAACATTACCATTCCTGTGCACTATCTGCGTCTTTTCCCCCCAAGTCCAGTGTTTCTTCCACTGCTGATTCCAGGGTAAGGCAGAAGCCCCCTCAAGGTCGTGTGAGGGCGAAGATGAACCCCAAGAGCTGGGGGCAAACTGCACTGAGACCTGCCACTTACATCTCTCAACTTGGGACAGCCAGTTCTTCCAAGAACTAGATTTAGAGCTCAAAGGGCCCTCAGACTTCAAATCGAAGTCCTTCAATGCACAGGGGAGGAAACTGAGGCCCCAGAGGTGAAATTCCAGTTTCCCATCACCCAGAACAGCCCAGCCCAAGGTTAGACTTTTTTTAATATCACGCATTCTAAGTAGCTCTCCAGAAGTTTTTTGTAATTCTTCAGTAACGGGAAGGGAAGCTAACACCCGAAGATGGCTTCTGAAAAGCCTTGAAGACCAAAATTATTAAATCCCTAGCTACAGAGAGAATTTAAATAGCATTGGGAAGGAAACTGGCTCAGGCCTCAGAATGAGTAATGAGCTACTAGACTCCACCTAGTGGTGGAGGGGATAAGGTGTGTAAGAGGAAAAGGACAACGAATACGCAAGCAGCTGCTTCTAAGTTTTAAACCTGATCAGCTGCGTGCACTTGGACAAGTCCCCGCCCTTTGGGGGCTGGTTCCCCCAGGGACATGACTCCTCAAGAGAGGCTGCTGAGAAGGCTATCTCGGGCCACCACTTTATTTGCCCAGATTGCTAGGACCTCCTAGGGATGGGGCTGCGCAGACCTGGTGCGGAGGAGGAGGAAGCTAGGGCAGCGAAGCCAGATCTCTCAGGGATAAGTTCTCTCCCAACCGCAGGATGCAGAGCCTGCATCCCGCGCAGAGCCCATCCTCGTCCGGGAAACTATGAGGAGGGGGCAACGTGGTGGCGGCAGTCGAGATCAGAAGCCTCTGTCCCAATGGGGGGGGAGTGCAGGCCAGATGCGGCCGGCTACCTGAACAGATCCTCGTCTAGCGGCTCGAGGTTGAGCACGCTGGTAACCAGGACGCTGCGGAGGTCCCCGGGGGGATCGCCGCCGCCCTGCTGGTCCTCTGGAGCCTGCGAGGACGACATGGGGTTCACTCGCTGCCGGCCAGGACGCAGCGCTGGGCAGACACGCGGAGATCCGCATTGAACGAGCAGCTTCTTCCGGCAGCTTGTTCCAGCAACCGGAAGCCCCCTGCGGGCCCTGAGAAAGCGGGGTCCAAGTTATGATTGGCCAATGTTCCTGTCAGTCTTCATGGGAGGGCGTCGATTTTTCCTCTAGCGACTGGAGAAAAGGAGTGCCAGTCCGGGAATCCCGTGTGTGATTGGGCGTGGCCGTGAGGGGGCGGAACCCGGGACTGGATAATAAGGGCTGAGTGTCATTTCCCCTCTGTCAGATAGCAAAGACGCCCCCGGCCCCTGGTAGCCCTCTCAGTCCTAGGGATCCTCCTGAGCTCCATAACAGGCCATTCCGCCGGGGCCCACCCTTAAGGCATCCCGGACACACGCCAGCCTACGGGCCCTCCTAGTGTGACCTCTGACCCCTGGTGTTGGTCTTGGGACCAGCCCCTGGTGCGGGCTGCGGGGCGGCCATGGAGCTGGGCAGCTGCTTCAAAACCTACGAGGACTTCAAGGAGTGCTTCAGCGCCTACAAAAAGGAGAACAGGTGCTCCTTCATTCTCAGGGACTGCGTCTCCGTCCGCTTCCACAACCTCAACCACGGCACGTCAATCCGCGAGGACATCCTGTAAGGGCGGGGCGAGGCGGGGGCGGGGCAGGGGGGTGGGGAGGAGGCCGGACTGTCCCCTGGTGGGAGGCCTGGACGTGGAGGGAGTGCAATTGGGCCCTGGTGTCTTAGCATTCAACAGGGCGCTGAGCACCTGCCCTGTGCCTGGTGAAAAGAGCCAAAGCTTCACAGGCATCGCTTTTTGACCACCCACTTCCCCTCCACTCATTCACTCCATTACAGCTTTCCCGGAATAACTGTAATGTGTCCCATTTTTTGAGCACCTGCGGTATCCCTAGTTCAAAGTACACTGTTTTCACAAATGGATTAAAAAAACAAAAAACAAACAAACAAACAAACAAAAAACGCCTTCGCGGTGATTCCCTTCATCAGTGTTCTCTTTACCAGGCAATTAACGCGGTCAGTTGTGGATTAGTTTGTTCATTCATTCATTCGTTTTGTAAATGGTCCCTGAGCTTCTGAGATTCACAGCCGTTTTCCAAACGTTCCCCATGCCCCAGGCATCCTTCTCCGTTGTGTGCGTGCTTTATTTACCCCGCAGGGCTGAATTGAGAATTATAGACAAAAGCTATTTTTTCCCATCTGGCAGCGGAGAAAACAGGCCGAGAGGCTAAGAAAAGGGTTGACAACTCAGTTGTCTTCAGGGTTCAGGTGAAACAGCCCCGGGTAAGAAAGTTTAACTTGTAATTTCACCATAAGAGAAAGAATGATGAAATAACCACAGACACCAGGTCTCTGCAGCAGGGACCACAGAAGTGGGACTTGGGCAAAATGGAGAGCAGGCCCTATCTAATCAACTGCCATTAGCTAATGGCCGCCGTGTGAAAATGAAGATCCCCTGTGGCCAGGCTTTAGGGCAAGGGAAGTCAGAAATCCAGGCTTTAGGTCAGTTTCTCCACTTTTTAAAAATTGAAAATCGAGTCCAATTCGAACACAGTCCACGTGGGCCAAGTCAAAGCTGTATGGGCAGAGTGTCTCTATCTAAATTATTCCAGGCAGTTAACGGAGAGGTGAAGAGCTCATCTTGAGTCTGTTGGACCTTGATTGTTTTCAGCTCAAAATAATCCACACGTCCAAGTAGCAAATTCTGGGGCAGCCTGCCCTAAACCCCATCAAGGAGTTAAAAGAGAGCTCTGGAGTCAGAAAGATGGGCTTTACGCTTGAGTTTGGGCAAGACTTAATTTCTGTGACGGTTTAATCCTCTAAACTGAAGTGGATATGGTAAAGATTAAATAACCGAACGCGTGTAGGAGCGGAAGCATAGTGCTCAGTTTCTCAGTGCTCAGTTGCAATCAGTACATGGTAGAAAGCGGTACTTTGACTCAGTACTTTGAGAATCACATGTGCTGCGGGAATTATCACTAGACCACCAAAAGTCCCACTCCACTGGGAGATTCTATGCTTTTATGCCCGGTTTTCCCTCTCATATTTTTATATATGGCTGTTGTGTTTTTGCTTTTGTTATGTCTTGGGGGGGGGATTGATAATTCTTCAAACAGTCCAGGAAGTATTCTCATGTCTCTCTCCATTGCTGTTCGGTTTAATAGCTACCTTTTTGGGAACATTTTTGGGGGCCGCATTCCAGAGATTGTGCTAAGAACTTTACAGGCATTGTTTTATTTAATCCTCAGTACACCCTGTGAACTAGGCCCTTGTTACCCGATTTTTCATTTTCTATGTATCCATAGTCACAAAGCCGAGTAGGAAAGCAATGTCCTACAAAAGTCTTGCTAATAAACCAGCCACTTATAAAATTAGTCCCTACTTAATAATTTCCTGCTTATCCCTACCAGTCCCGTTAATATCTTTGGCAGTCAGTTTCTGGCTAATCAATAAGTGTGGTAAACATCAGGATAATACAATGGAAATGAAACTAGCTGCAAACAAGAATTACACCTCTCCCAAGAGCAAGACTTCGTGAAATCTCTGAAAGTAATGAGAACTCCTCAGCCTGACACCAGTGAACAGGAGGAGAAGAAAAATGAGCGAAGATGATGATGTGATAGGAATTTGACAAACGAAGGATTTGCATAGCAAAGAATAAAATTAGGCCTTTGGGAAACCTGATAAAGCCCAGGAATGTTTCAGTAAAACTGACCTTTCCGTGTTGTAAAAGTGAGACAGGAAATGAAATATCTTAGTGTTTGAGGGGAAATGCACCAGGAAAAAAAAAAAACAAAACAAAACAGTTGACACTGTAAGTTATTCTTGGATTATTTTAAGAATTGGTATATAGCTGCCATTATAACCTAAGTTTTGTTAAATATAATATTAACTTCATAATTTTAGGCTCCTATTTCAAGATAAAGTTCCTCTCAAATCTTTTTCCCCCTCTATTTGCTATCGTATGTTGTTTCTGAGGGATAGTTTTGGCTGCAATTAACTGAAAACTCTGACTCAAAATGGCTTATTTCTTAGAAGCGTAGAGGTGGGTCTGTGAAGGTGATTGTTTCCATGGCCCTGGCTTTTTGTTTCTTACTGCTCTGCCACCCTCAGGTCTCAGTTTGGTACAGATGCAGGGGTCACATCCAAATGGAAAAGCCTTCCTCAGTTTCCTGCAGATTTCCTATCCTGTTTCTTTCTCCAGAATTGGGCCAGTATCCATGCCCATTCCCAATGAGATGAGCTCAATTGGCTTAGACTGGCCCTGAAGTACTTAGCTTTGTGGGGGAGTCATGGCAACCCAAATTAAGTTGGCTTTCTGTTGGGAAGGAAGAAGGGGGCTAAGGGCAACCCACAGATCCAGTCACAACCTTTTGAATGAATTCACTTTGTAGTGGTTCTGATTGGTTTTGGATCAGGTACCGACTTTTACAGACCAGTCAGTACTCTTGCTATTTCTAACTTCTTGTTATTTCTAATTTACAGATTAGGAGTTGAAGACTCAGAGGAAGTGAAATGACTTGTCCAAGTTCACACAGCTAATAAGTGGTAGAGCTAGAATTTAAACTCAGATCTTCTGACTCTGAGTCTTGTTCCTAACTCAAGTTCTATTTTCTAAAATGGTTTTACCGCACCTATAAAGATCCTAGTATTGCTCAAGGTGCGATCTACACACAAGGACACAAATCTTATGTAAAATTAAAAGGCTTAGTTAATCTGTACCAATCCCTATAGAGTGAATCACTGTGCAGTCAGTTATAAATATACTGCTTGTACCTCTCTTTAACCATTCACTTAATTTTGACTTTACTGGCTACCTATGTAATTCTCTGCTCTCTAGAGTTAGAGAGTAGAGACTGGCTAATTAGTCTGTGTAGCAATTAGTATAGTGTTCGGTACATAGCGGGACTTGGTAAATGTTTGAAATTAAACAAAGGGCTTGTCCATAGTTAGTAAAAGTAGTTGTGCTGGGACTAGAAGCCAAGTTGTTGGACAGAACCCTCTCAGTGGTCTTCCTAGTATACTTTTCATGTTTTATAAGGAGAACCTTCTGTGCCATAGTCGATCATTTAATTCTCATTCGGTACGCGTGCTTAGAGCACCGGGTGTGCTCCACGCGCGGGAGCAGGCACTGGGAGCACACTGCTGGCGCTGTCCAGTAGGGAATACAGACACCTGCAAAGTAGATGGGAAGCAAGGCTGGCTGACTCCCTCCCTCCAGATCCTGGCTGAGCACCCTTAGATATAAGCAGTCAGGGGGATTCAGAAAGGTGTGAAACCATGTTCCTGTCTTGAAGGGAGTCAATGCTTTAACTTAGACAACTAAGTACAGATGAAAATAACCGCAGTGCTCAACGAATTCTTAACAAAAGATTTGTATATCTCACTGTATGTAAGTGCTATCTCAATAAAAAAGATTGAACGAAGTGGGGGAAAAAATAACAGACTTCAGCCTAGTACCCATTATGTTTGAAACATACGATGCCAACAAAGACATTATGTTTACAGATCTTTAAGCAAGTTATTGAACCTGAACAGTGTGTTGAGGGTCGAGTATCCTGAAAAAGGAGAAATATTTTGAAAGTGGACAGGCAGCATAAGGGTTAACTACACAGACTGTAGCCAAGCAGGCTTAGTTCAAATCCCAGATCCCCATCCTTGAGAACATTTTAAAGCCTGTTTCCCCATCTGTAAAATGAGGATAATAGAACCCTTTTCCTAGGATAAAGTGATGCATGTTAGGGGCTTAATATAGCCTGGCATAGAATACCTTAGTACATGTAGTACTGGTAGGAAAAAATGTAAAACACTTGTTAACATATTGGATATAGACACAGAGAAGGAGGAATTAAGAACAAGGCCAAGGTTTCCTCCCCTGGAGGCATAGTCAGTCATTAATGGAACCAGGAAAGGTTTGAAAAAGCTTTATGGCTAACGTTCTCCAGTATCTTTCTTTCTT